ACGAGCATCTTATACACAAGAATAGAGTCAATTCAATCAGTATAGTAATTTTTCATTGAATCTCGAGTAATAGTAAGTATACCGATTTGTGTAGAGAAATATGTTAATTTATATATTTTAGTGGTCCAGAGGACAAATAAATCGAAAAGGGAGGATATATACATCGGAGAGGAGAAAACCGCAGACAAATGTTTTTGTGCAAAGATGGACATCGCATATGCATGGTGGCTGCACGTAGGCAGCTATAACTACCTGCGTGACTTTCAGGTCCAGTATATGAATACAGATATAGATGTTAGTGAGTGTGTAAAAATTGGAAGAATTTATACATGAACAGTGATTTTCTTCAGTGCCCCCCCCCTTATTATTTTTTGAACGGGTCAACTTGAAAAATTGTGAGTGTGAAATTGACAGATGAAGGTTTCGAAATGACGACTGGGCGCTATCTGGGAAAAAAATTAAAAGGAAAGGCGGTTTTGTGACGCATCTTTTTAAAGCTCCCTACAAATGCTTCACATCCCTAGAATATAATGTCAATATTTTCAATTAATACAAAATCGCGGAACTTTCAATAATTGCCTGAATACATTGACATTTAACTACATAATATGAGGTATAAAGCTTAAGACCAGTTCAGAAGATGCCCAAAATGGTTGCCTTCAACTTCTTGACATATGAACAGCCTATCCGATATTTCACGCCAAACATTTTCGAACACAGTAACGTCAATATCTCTACAAATATTAATTATTCTCTGCCGCATATCCAATATTGAAGAAGCTTCAACGTACACCTTTTGCCATAGCCCCATAAAAAAGTAAGAGTCCAAAGATGTCAAATCTGACGAGCGGGCTGGCCATTCTGTAGTACTTACATGACTCGAGTACGAGGTCGTAATCTCCCTTGTCCCCAAGTCTCGTTACCAGTTCTATGTGTGCTGTGTTCCACTCTAAGTTCGTACTGGTCACTCTGCTGTTCGAAGCCCATATTTATGTTATTGTAGCAGATATCTGGTTTGCCTGATTGTCATTGAGGTAGCGGTTAGTATGGGTAGGTTTTCGGTACACAGTGTGTGAGAAGGAGTTGTTGAACTTTGTGATGAGAACGTCCAGGAAAGTGAGTGAGTTATTATTTTCCAATTCCATTGTGAAGTTTAGGTCGGGGTGTGAGTAGTTGATGTGGTTCAGGAATGCATGAAGAGCTTCAGAACCATGGGGCCATATGACGAAGACATCATCCACGTATCGAAGCCAACACGTGGGTTCGAGATGAGACTTGTCAGTGGCTCTGGTTTCAAAGTCCTCCATGTAGAGATTTGCAAGGACTGGTGAGAGAGGAGAACCCATTGGGGCGCCTTTGACTTGTTTATAGAATTTGTCCTGGAAACGCCAGGATGATTCGGGAATCAATCGAAATTGAAAAACGTCCCGACGGCCTTAACAAGCGAGATGATTCGCAGAGATTACCACAAACAGGGAGAACATTGATTTCACGCAAAATACCTGAAAATAACTTAGGTACATGGTCAGGCAAACCAGATATCTGCTACAATAACATAAATATGGGCTTCGAACAATAGAGTGACCAGTACGAACTTAGAGTGGAACACAGCACACATAGAACTAATAACGAGACTTAGGGACAAGGGAGATTACGACCTCTTCCTCAAGTCATGTAAGTACAAATCTAAGTGATTCTGAAGAATGGCTCTAAAGCCGAAACGTCGAAACGATGAAAATTACAGACGCGGTTCGACCCGGACAACAGTATTATATACATATATATACCGGGTGTCCCACATTTTATGTGACAGGCAATATCTAGAACTATCTGTGTCAATGATTCAATTATAATCGAATAGTTGGATACGTGTGTAATCCAAACAAGAAATCAGTTCCAAGATGACTTTTTTGTTCATCAATACAGACAGCTGTTTCAAAGATAATGTTAAAATTGACATACTTCTACAAAAAAAAAAACTTAAAAATTGATGAAACAAATTCAAATGGAGCTAAATGAAATTCAACCGTTTCTAACAAATACTTACCCAAGGTACAGATTCAAACCTAGCTATAGCTTCTGGGTATGAAATGAATGCTAAGCCTGTGCCGGAAGTTACAACTTTATCGATTTCCACATTTAATTTCAGTGCTAGATTACCCAATATTCCAAATATGATGGTTCCTGCTAACATTGATGTTCCCGTATCCAGTATGGAAACTATTATCGCATCACTATAAAAAAAAAAGAAGTCGACAAATTTCTTATAAAATATCGACTAGTTTTCATTTGGTATTTCACAATGATGAAAATAATTTTTTAGACCGTCTGAAAAGAACAATTGAACAATAAACATTTTTCGAATACATATAAATCACTCGTGAGGAGCAGAGTTTTTGAAAAACTATCTGTTACATCTGAAGTTAAATCATTCGAATATCAGCTACTGGTTATAAAATGATCAATTACAAACGGCAAAATGATTTTCGATTCCAACTCCGAAAATTCATATGTTGAATTATATCACAAAACAAAATTATCAACAATTCTCTCATTCCTTGGCCTCCAAGGTGTTCATTTCTAGACTATCACTTTTGGTTTCCTTCAATCTATACTTACAAATGCGAAAGTTACCCACTTAATACATATTCATCTCTGTTCCTCCGTACTGGTAAGTCCTAGGAAGCTAAAATTTTGTATATGGGTGATTTTAAGGATAAAACACGAACACTGCAGAAAAATCTCTGAAGCGCTCTGAGAACCTGTGCGAAAGTAGCAATTCACGTTGGACTTGAATCGTATCGAAGGAGATTACATTCATTTGGAAAAACGTTCCCAAGAAGTTTTTTCCATATGAACGCAGTTCTCCAAATAAAAGAGTCCTCAAATAGTGAAGTTCGGGGTGTACTGAGATGAACCTCAAAACGTTGAACAGTCACAGTTACAGTCTCTTGCGTATTTCTGCTAGGTACCGCTCTTGGTGGAATCAAATGTGCCAAGTCACTTTTACATCTTCCATGAAATTATGTATGGAAGAGAGACAAATCTTCAACCTTTCTTCGATGTTCCAGACTATCAAGATTGCAAAGGATGTTCGTGTCTTCAATCAGGTGGATGGCTCTTTTCTGGATGAAATCCAGCAGCTTCAGGGTATGCTTAGGGGCGAAGCTCCATACATGAGGACAATACTCCAAAGTTGGTCTGATCTCAGCTTTGTAAAGCATCAAAACTTGCTTAGATGTGAACAGTTTACTGGTTTGGAATAATGTTTCAAGATTTTGAGAAGTAGACTTTGCAATTCCAGCGACATGATTGTGTTCATTTCAACATATCGAAGCAGAAAGCGGAATTGTCTGTCCTGACATTATTATATCCGGTACGGAGACATTTATCTTCTCGTGGCATTGAATTGAACCTGGTCACTTTCACTCCAATTCGAAATCACCTCTAGATGTGTTCAGGATATTCAACTTCCTGTTGCCGGTGAATCCAAATAGAATGACGAGACAAGTGTGGTGTAAGCAATGAAATAAGTCGTGTGGTGTAAGCAATGAATAAGTCGTTGATATTCAATAGAAAGAGGTCTTGAATGCTCACTAAGAAAGGATTTTCAGATATTTCAAAAAACGCGCGTTTATATATCTTCCGTCTCATCTGTCCATGATATTTCCGAAGATTTAAAATGAAGGGACATAGCGGTTGGGTTGCGGCGGTACGGGGCCAATTATATGTCGCTCTTTCAAGGATAAACTCTGGAGAAAACATGTTTGTATTGTCTACTGACAAAAAATCTGTGAACGTTGTATATAAAGACATTCATAGTATATTTAGTATCAGCATTGCACCCGTGCGGAGCAAAGGGCGGATCTTTAGTCCATACATAATATAAATTATGTCCCTTGTCATGTCAGTCTACCTGGATCAGATAAACACAAACTACACAACCAAATTCCATACGGTTTTCAATGAATGAATAATTTAGGAAATATGTTAATGTGTATAATTATTCAATGTTTTGTGTAAATTGGTTGAAGTATGACATTTTTACTGTGAGAAGTCGAAGCGGTCTTATCACCTTTCGAGTATTCATTCAAAACTTCGTCTCATTTCTTCTTACATAGGTCCGAATGTTCTGGTCTATTCTAGATATTTCCAGAAGACAAAACTTTCAGCTGTTGTTTCTTCGAAAGCATGTCCTCTAGGCGAAAATGAAAAATTTCTCTTCGGATGGGAAATCGAGGGCTATCTCAACGTAAAACTTCCTATCTGTTCCACAATCTTCTGGAATGTTACGAAATATTGTCGAATATTCAAGATCTTCCCAACCCATGGGTAGGGCTACCTATCAGGCGCGTCCCCAGGTGGTGGAGAGGGGAACGGCCAGGGAAGTAGGGGCCCTGCCCTGGAAGCCAATAAGTAGCCTTACGGACGGGATCGCCGGACTCCTGGCCAGTGGCAGAAAAAAGTAAGGTGAGGGGAACTAAAACTCCCCAAAAGCCTTTGCAAAGTATGCCATCGTGGACCAGCCTACCCAAGCTAACGTGTAATCGTGTGGACAGCTGAATGGCCGCAGGGTGATATGCGTTTACGAACGATCCCCTTGGGAAATCGGGCGAAACCTCATTGTAATGAGTCTTTTTCTGGTTATGCGGGGCTCTGCCAGAGGTGACGAACTCTTCCCTTGCTAATCGTTTGAACACACATACAAACAGACACAACAAAAACCAATCCCGAGACTGCACAAAAGTGCTCACCTCAATCTATGGCGGTGGCTGGGGATGAACAGAAATGTCCACCCCAATCTACCGCTTAGAATGAGGCTGGACACAGCAGATCACCTCGAGATATAATACAAAGGCGGCGCCTTTGCGGCGCCAAGGCAAAAATGAGAAAGGGAGCGAATGAAGCAGGAGTGGCAGCAAGTATAACTGCACCCTCCTCCTCCCCCACTCCATCTCCAACTGCATTTCCTGCGGCAGGCGCCAAGATCTCCGCCTTGAATAAAGGCAAGGAATCGGCTGCCCCTGCACGAAAGTGCCCTCACTTCGAACACCTCCATTAGGGGAACCCCAGGAAGGTTGAAGAAGCAGCGCAATGGCAGTAATGTCGCTGCACCTTCCAAAACCCTCACGGAGGCCGCCGTGAAATACCTCAAAGTTGCTTAAGAGAGTGTGTGTTCGGCGAGTCTTGGCCTACACCTGCCGATATAAAGGATATGTTTCCTAGTGGCCTGTCCACCTTCCTGGGAAGGACATGATGAACGGTGACCTAGGAGGACAACTCTTTGGGAGGATGTACAATGGGTCACATGTGGCCTAAGTACTGTGGGTTTACACTCACCCTCCCTACTATATACCTACATACATACAAGATCTTCGCAAGCATTCCATAAAGTTCCGGAATATTTCAGGATGTCCTGAAATATTGAAAAATAAGCGTCAAGATCAACGCTTGAGAAAGCTATTGTATAGAGAATCACGTGTCACAATTTAAGTAAAACCCTATGTAGTGGAAATCTACAATAAACTGTTTCAATAAGTTTCAATATGGATTCTCATCAAGTATCGGCCAGTTATATTCGATTTTTTAAGAATTGATTTTGAAGTAAGGAATTTGAAAATAATTGAAACAGAACTGTGAAGTTGTTACTTTGCACATCGGTGATTGGCCTCGAAGTTAGTGACTGATTTTTCTGGTCAATTATGATTGGTTTTGAAGTGTGAGTCATGGATCATTTTACCTACTTACCTAAAGAAAATGGTCACATATTTGATGCTTTTTTCAATAGTCATTGAAAATGGTATATTATTCAACAAGGGAGAGATGTAGCTATCATTAGTGAAAATGAATTTTGTTGGCGTCAGTTGAAGGCGAGCCTAGTAAATCAATCAAACGATTGATGAATCACGATGGATGATTTTTCAAGCATATTCAGAAACAATCTGAAAAACTTCTGGAAAATTTTTCTGTTTCTGTCATTTTGAATAATTCCGGATATTTCAGTGGTTGAAATGAATGAGAAGCCACCGTTGATGAGAATGGAACAGGACCACTGACACACAACACTCAAGTCCACCTTCTAACAACTCCAAGAAGTAACTCAGACGTTAGTGACATAAGAGTATTGGATGTTTTCATAACTCTCATTTTATTACAAGGCAAAGAATTTCCAGAAAATATAATATTCACGAACTCGTTATCACTTTTCGAGATCATGTTCATATTTATGTTTACCTTTAGAAACTATGTAATTCAAAAAAAATGTCAGTTCAATTATTGAGTTTTAACATTTTGGAATATATTCTGAAGTACGGAATCATCAAAGCTTATTTGTGATTGAGAATATTTGAAACGCAATTGGTTCGTAGGTGTCAGTTACTTATCCTGAGGAAAATGGTCAAATAATTTACACTTTTTTAACGGTCATTCTAGACGACTGACTGACGTTGAATTTCCACTCCTTCACTCGTATTGATGTTATTTTTTATTATTATGTTCCAATTTAACCAATTCCAGTATCGCACACAACATCATATTGTTACGCATTTCGACAATGAAATCAGATTGTTTTAATAAAAACTCAAAATCTAATTATTCAATATCACTTTTTATAAAACTCACCGGTATGTATTATGCCTAAAACTGTTGTAAGAAGCATACATAGTAACAGTTCCAAATCCAATATTCAGTGAAAACATACATTGTGTTATTGCAGCATACCAAACCTGAAAACGACAAATTCCTTCATTTGAAAAAGATAACTAAAACGATATAATCATTATGAGTTCAACCTGAGATAGATACAGAAAATGAGAAGGTTTCCTATTGATTCATTTTTTAGAGACTACTTACTTTTGCTTCCAACAACTTTTCCCATTGAGGCAAAAAAAAGAAAGCTATGCCTTCCGCTGATCCTTCCAATGTAGTTGCTCTTACCAGAAGAGAAAATAATATAATGTATGGAAACAACGCCAGAAAATATGATACTTTTCCCGAACTCTTGACACCTTTTGAACAAATCAGAAATGTAACTATCCATGACGCTAAGAGATATAGGGCTAGACGCCAATCTGGTATTCCGAGTCCTTCAGATATATCGGGAGATTCTCTTAGAACCTCTATCCTGAAATGGAATCATCATCAATGACATCAACCAACAACCAAAAGAAAAATAAGGCAAAACGGGCCAAAAAGGGCAAAGGAGGGCCAACCAACAAACAACCCCCCAAGCCTGCAAAAAACCCCCCCAATAAAAGAACAAACCGAAACCGCAAACCTCCCAACAAAAGAACAAACCGAACCCGGTCAAAATCAAAAGAAGTTTGAAGAAAAAAAAAAAAATTGACCCGCTTGGTGAGATCTGAGGCAAGGTGGTGAGGTTTATAACGATAACTTACCTACCGATAACCACCCTGGCAGTGACAACTGACAGTTTGAGTGAACGCATGAGCTGAGAGATGCATTGCTACAAGAGTAGTGAACTCGCGCGAAGAAGGTTCGGAGTGAGGATGCGTGCTCCGTGGTGTGAAACATATCCGGAACATGCCGCCTATTCCTATGGAAACCTTAGAGATTACGTATCTGATATTATTCGGCGGCTTCTTCCCAGCCTCCATAAAGTGGTGGAAGTGACATTTCTACCACCCATTGGCACGGCTAAAGAGACTAGCATAATCACACCAATGAAGATGATCACAAGACGCAGTGCGCTCTACAGAATTAAGCTCCTGGAGCTACATGAACTGGTTTGTTTGGATGCTTAGGTACAGACGTGGCTGACATCTTGCAAATTAACATCGCAAATTTGCGTCTCCAACTAAAAAAACATCCCGGACCAATGGCACGGAAGATCGAATGACGGATGCACAAGATGGTGTCACATCACGTTGGCGAGACAACACGCCCGCTGTGCGACGAATAGCTGCCAAACTAGGACATATCCATCACATTTTCAGTCGAAGCGTGCTGCTGAACTTTAAATAGAACTGCCTTGAACCTATACAAATGCCAGTAGCTGTTTGGAGTCATCAGTGAGGCGAGCGAGAACTACCGCAGGAAAGCTCAGGTTCCGCGTAAACCGTTATCGCTTATTTCAAGAGCATTTGAGTGTTGTGGATAATCCACCGACAGCTGATCAGGTGCAATCCTTCTGGAACGACATCTATGAACGCCCTCAGCTACTCAATTTAGAGATTCCAGCCCTAACGTAATACGAAGCTTTCAGCAGAGAGCATCGACAGCCTGAGCTCAATAAACTGCGCAATTCGATAACTCCCGATGACGTTCGAAAAGCCCTTGAAGGTTTCAAGAACTCTGCTGATCCAGGCCCACTTGGGCTGAACAGTCATTTATGAAAAAAACTATCAAAAACTTACCACCATCTGGTCAGTGTTTTCAAATCAGGCTGGACGGAGAGCAACCGATTCCTGATTGATTTTCCGAGGAGCGGGGCGTTTTCATCCCCATAAGCAAAATTTGTCGATTTCTAAGGATTACAGAATGATAACATACTTAAATTTGTGTTATGATTCATTCACGAGCATCTTATACACAAGAACACTCACTGCAGTTGACTGAGTGTTCTAACGGAATATGAGCAAAGAGGGTCGAAGAGAGGAGTCGCTGGATGTAAAAAAACCTGTTCAGGACGCGATACACTGTAAGCGTAACCTCTCTATAGCCTAGATCGATTACCGCAAGGCATTCAATACAACATCGCATGCACTTGCATTTGCTCAGATGCCTTGTGGTACCAGACATAAAAGTGAGATGAGTATCTAGTGATGTGAAGCAGTAGTCGGCACAGGTTTTTGAACATAACCTCGAATTTGTTTTTTCATACGAATGTGAGACAGATGGAGATATTTCTAGCGCAAACATTTCGGTGTTGTCGGTTGTAAAGTAAAGCATTGTTCATGGGGGCGATGTGGCTTGTGAGGCGTTGCCGGTTTTTTGAAATTAAGTGTGAGTATAAAAAATTAAAATGACGTAGACGGCGATGATTAGGAAGGATTAAAGTTCCAACGCGCGATTCGTTAACCAAGTTGGGCATGTAAACTCAAAATCAAACGTGGGTAGAAAAAAAATAAATGAAAATGTTGTCGACGGCGATGATTCGAAGGGCCAAACGTTTCAACGTGCGATGAAGTTGTTAATGTTAATCAAGTTGACATTATCAGGAGTTGACGATGTAAATAAACACAGATGGCGTGACGTGCCGCACATCAAATCAAAGGGAAATTATTGTATAGATGAAAAAAAAGTATATACAAAGTGTGTTTCAATGAATTTTTTCATTGCTAAAACACAAAGAGTCATACATTTCATCATAACAATAATATCAGTAATAACAATAGTGTTTATTATACCATCTTAGCTTCCAATATGTAACCAAATATGGATGCGCATTCACATGTATCAATAACAATCTGATCAGGTTGAATACATGTCAACGGATATGCTGATGACGTAGCTAGTTGTCTCAAAACACTTGCTTCTTGCTGTTGATTCACGATAGATAAAGGTTATCTAGTTGCTTTGTAATTTCACTTTTATCTTTAAAAAACTAATGACTTTTCTTAAAATACACAATTTTTCTTCAAATTCGTGTTTATACCTTTTCGAATACATTTTGGTTGATACTGATAGTTTTTTATATAGATCATCAACTAAAAAGTATGTTATTCATGTCATGATGCTGCCAACTCTCCTCTTTTACGTTAGGCCCTCCTAATCATCGCTGTCGACGTCATTTGCAATTTTTCTACCCACGCTTAATTTTAAGTTTACACGCCCAACTTGGTTAACAAAGAAATAACTCTTACTACCCTTCTGACATGTTGTATAGCACGTTGGAACATTAGTCCCTCCTAATCATCACCGTCGACGTTATTTCTTCTGATAAAAGGAATGTTATTGACTTTTGAGTTTCGAAGGTACATTACAGAATGTTATTAGCTGTAGCCCTCAAAGTCATCAGAAGTTTGGATATCGTCCTCTGCATGATCTGCAACCATGAGAAAACAGAAACTGGAAAATTTCTCTTTGAGGCAGCTTTTCGAGCGACTAATGAACTTGATTTAGTTTTTGACACAGAATGAGATGATGACAACTCCATCAGACAGTTGGAACTCCTCAAGCAAAAGGTCGACATAAAAGTCCACGTCACATATAAAAGCCTACTGCAACACAAAGATGAACCTCGGATTATCCTAGCACCTGAAGATTGATTTTCTTAGGTCGTATAGGCCGAAGACGATAATTGAGCGATTCGTCACGGTCTGCCAGGATTGTGTATTTTACGCCTCAGTCTACCGTAGTCGCGTAGTGAAATAAATGATCACGATACCAGGTGCAAAGCTTCCCCCTAGACGTCTGAGAACGTGATTCAGTTGTTGACGGAGTGTCTTGCTTATGCGTTATCAGTCTATAGTCATCGACATAAACCGTCCCCAAAACTACTTTATTATGAACTGAGCTACTTCTACGATATTGTCTTGTGTCTCGTGAATATAGAATTCGTTGTAGAGAATGAGAGGTGTCGAATTTTTTGGAAATGCTCAATCTCCACCTTCAGACAGATATATACAATCGAATAAACTTGATGTAGTCCTTCTCGACCATCAAATTGAATTGTTCGCTCCGACTGAAATGAATATCATTCAAATAAAAGGGAAAACGACTGAATTATCGTGATTAATTTTTCGAACTTCTCAACCATCAATTTCGAAAGATATTTGCCAAAGATTTTTCTGCTCGGACTGAAACGAATATCCTTTGAATAGGAAAAAATAATGAAGTATCGTGATCAACTTTTGGAACTCTCGAATTTTTGTTTTCAGAATACTCTGTTGAAATTATTTTTCTGATCATCAACCAAGAATCCTAGGTGGAATAATGCCTTCAATATTCTCTTACACTCTCTTACACCTGCTCTTAGNCTCTTACACATACGATTACCTTCTCTTCACGGATACTGATCTCAGTTCAGTGTGTTCAGGTCTGTTCCTAAAATTTCTGTCAAATAGTTTTCATAACATTCTCAGAAATTGAATTGAAAATGATATATTTTCAGAATAAATCACAAAACATTTTGTCTGTCCTATGTTTCAGAAATATACATGTTTTGGTAAACTGATTCATATAAAATTTACATGATCTGAATTAGAAATTGAAAAGAATCTTACCTGAAATAAAGCTCAGATGAGCTGACCGAAATATTATTCGAAACGTTAACAGATTTTGAAGAAACACATGTTTTTCCCTGCAGAAATGGGTTGGTTTTCCATTCATCTCTACACTCGGTCCAAGGAAGATCAGATGTGAAAGACTGAATCAAATAGAAGAGAGATATCGCCATAAGGGTACAATAGTAAGTAGCCACAGAAAAGTCACCAATAAGTTGTCCATAACCAATACCTGAAAGTTATACTAATGAAATTATTTTTAAATATGTGTGAATGTAATTGTATGCGTTCAGAAATTTGTATTGCATTCGCAGTTCTAGTGCCATTGACAAGAAATATAATTTTAGACAGACTCACCAGAAATCAAGAAGCAATTATATGATTCACATAATTGAGCAAGATCCATTCAGTCCCAAAGCTGACTAACAACATTGTTGTTGTGTCCTTTTTTTTGTACACTTCAGAAAAATAACTCAATATAATACGACGCTGAGCTAGTTGGGAAATGATCATGTTTGCTAATACAGATCCGAACAAATATTCATCTTTTCATTAGGATACCTATCTTGTGATTGAAATAGAAATTGTAGCATCGATTTCTAAGAGAGGAGATTTTATTTACTTCAGAATATTCCTAATGATTATATACAGTACAACTATGTACTTTCATATTATCATTACTATCATTATTATTAGTCGGTCGGTAGCCGGGCGGTTCGACATGGGTGCTTTAGTCACTCAGTCAATCGGCCGGTGTGTCAGTGGATGGTTCAAGCCACAGGCTGAACGATCGATTTTCACTCGCTATCGTCCAACCCATATTTTAGACATAAATTTTTCAACATTTATATTATCAATGAAAAAAACTTTCAACAGATGTATCCACTGGAAAATATTATTTGAATGGAAATAACACAAAGAAGGCCCTGAGATGATTTGTTACTACACGTGTTAGACACATGCATGGGAAAAGACAAATTATTCTCAATGAGTACTAGTTAACCTGGGATTAATTTTCTCCCATCCCAGCTTCACCAGTGCACTTGGAAAGCACACGACGAATGTCACGGTTGGATGGCCTGTAGATACTTCTTATAGAAATGTTCAAGCATGAGACATGTGAGTTAATACCTGGGCCATTTATGAAAAGCCGTAATCTATATCATGGTAAATCTAGCCTGTTTACACACGATTCGATTATGTAACTAGTTTGGTACCCAAAGTTGAGTGAAAGTCGGGTATTATGATAATTTTCTCGAACAACCGACACTTTCACTTATATCAGTGGTTCTTAACCTTATACGGGACCATTTGACAAAATTTCTGTCAGGCCATGGACCACCAAGTTGGTTAATTAGTCTGTAGTTAATATAAATTACCTTACGATAACTACAAATAAATACAGTACAGTACAGTAAATAAATGGAATGGTTGTTCTAATGCATCCATAAATAAAATACGCATGAAATTATTCAAAAATTAGCTAAAATCTGTAACTGTAACAAGAATTGCATTATAAATTAATGCGATTTTCGTGGCTGCATACTCTTTACTGAATTCTGAATCCTTCGTTCAGTGTTACTCAAACTTAAACGCATATCAGCAGTGGCATCCAACCGATTTCGGTGCTTGTTTTTAATAATCAGAAGCGCCGAAAACATAGATATGTTGAAGAAGGTAACCAATAGCAATGTCTCGAAGTTTTGGTAAAGAAATTGCTTTTTAGCTCCAAAATTCTTCAAGATTAATTCCTGATTCGAATGTATCTTTTTTTAAGTTGCTGTCGTGTAGCATATCGATTACTTCTTCTTGAACTTCATTAGGCACCTCAGAAACGTTTACAATAAATGGATTGCGGATCAGTTTTCGAATACTATCATCCTCGCGGTCGGGAAAATAACGATTGAATCAAATTTTTAAGTTTTTCAAATGTAATATGTTCTTTTGTATTTCTCCTTTAAATCCAGGACTCTGTCCATCAATAATTTGATTAAACTTATCAAACACGTGAAAGTTATTACTTTCGACCTTGTTGTCGACAGCGATGAACGCACTGATTTTATCTTCATAAGCAAAAATACCTTGTTGATCCATAGCTCGATTTTAGCGATAAACACACTGATTCCATTTTCATAAGCAAAAATATTGCTCATGTCTTGCAACTTAAAATTTCACGACTCTTGCAGTAGAAGGTTTGATTTGTTCAGTTGCGCAAAAAATCGACCAAATAAGCAAGATGTATTTGAAATTTGGACTCGTAAAACTGATCAAACAAACCTTTGTTTTCCTTGATGATCAAAATAGTTCTACTTCCTACAAAGCAAAGCATTCTGGAAGCGTCTTGGCAGCTAGTGCTTGACGATGAATAACGCAGTGCGTCGTAATTGCAAACGGATTTTTGTTTTTTTTTTTCAATGCTGCAAGACCAGAGCGAGAACCAAGCATAGCAGGAGGACCGTCCCTACAAAACCCCGCAAGCCGTTCCCACATAAGTCCATGTTTCTCCATATATTGACTTATTGCATCCATAACATTTGCACCTTGCGACGTCGTTTCAAGTTCTTGAGAAAATAGTAACTCTTCTTCAAACATTCTCGCGGCGGGTCGCATTGTAACGTGTCGACTCGTCTAACATATTCATAAGGATGGCTTCGCGGACCGCTTAAGATGCTTTCAGGGAGCACCAGTGGTCCGCGGACCACCGGTTAAAAACCACTGACTTATATGATAGGAAAAAGAACAGTAGAATATCTGGGAGAAGCACTTGGAGTTGATGTGGGTTTCAAGAAGTTCAATTAAGAGTCTCAGTTTAATTAGAATCAACCGATCATTAGTTGTGCAGGGTGCAGCAAATCATTTGTTGGCAGGGAGTAGAATACAGTAAGTGGAAGACAGCAGGAAATGGTGTCTCTGTCTACAAACCTTACAACAAGACTTCAACAAATGCAATCACGATGTGTATGTTTGGTATACAAACATCATTTATTCTGCTTCACAAGACCATACCTATTCTATGGTATATCGGATAGTAGTATTATTCAAGTAACAAACAAGATCCTTGGAATGTTGTATTTCAAGTTAGTCACGAGAGCAGCAGAAAAATGGGACTAACTAACGTGATGTATCCGAGTTGACTTTTGTCATTCTCTCCAATAAAATTGAGATGGGAGTCCTTCATTCTGAAATCTAGATGTTTGACTGTTATGAGCCATAGCATAATTATCAATCATGAACGGCAGTTTTTCATCAAAGCAAAAACTCCAGTTGAAACCACAAACAACAAATATTGAAACTCTCCATTGTTAGAGAGGGAATTATCATTATTATGAAAAGGAGAATTGCAATGATCAATAAAGGTTGGTCATAGCTTCAGCCTTCGATCAAATATGGGACATTTAATTTAATATTCTATGCGAAGAGATGACATGCGATAAAGAAACGTTTCCAAATAGAACAGAGAAAATGCATTTTGTGATACTATTTGTCAACTTTCTGACGTATTGATTTTTCGGTGTTGAAATCGGGATCATCTTGTAAAGCAACTAGTTTTGCAATGGCGATGTGTTCATGAATGTATCTGACTCATCATATTCCACGTCCAAACCAGATTATCAAACTCTGAAAATCACATGAACAGATGCGTCGCCTACGGAAGATTAGCTTCCTCAATGGGCTCATTCAACAATTTTTTTTATTTAATACTGCAGGAGATTTGCTTTCCTGCTGCTGTCGTTTTCGAAGCAGACTATCAAATTGGGGAATGATCAGATGAATCAATAAATTGTAAAGCAAAATTCTGACAAAATAGTTAATCCATTCACAATTTTAAACTTTGCAGTAATATAATGTTCAGTAAGAGTGTTGAGCAGTGTATGTATTGAGCAATGTCCTAACAATTTCCAAAATAGATAAAAAAATATTTCATATTTTACGACGTAAAAACTATCATAAAAATTTGTCTGCGTTCGGTACTGAATGAAAATAAGGAACGGCTTCTTAAAATTTACTCAAGTAAACGAGTAATGAAAATTATTTCAATTGTTTTTGTAGAGACAAAATTTCAACAAATAATATGAATAATTTGTGATTGATTTGTCCATTACTTGATGAAGATCCATTGTAATTTCAAGAACTACACCTAGCGATTTGATGTTT